GTCAGCTATTCTCAAAATCTCACAACATTTTAATTTTTGAAAGTCATATGGTACTCTGAGCAATCTATCTACAAGCAATTAGAAAGTTCTGTAGCCAAAAATGCTTTTCAGCTTATTATAAAAATAATATAAATAATAACATAAAATAATAATAATATAAAAATACTACTTACAATTAAGTGATATATTAAGTCTTTCCCCAAGAACTTTATTTCTTCCAAGATGAAGCACAAATACAGTGATTTAAGAAGGTCACACTTTTGTAACCAAGTAATTTAACATTTTTAAACTGTTCCACAGACAGCAATTCTGGATTTCCTATTCTGCAAACCACTGTACAACCCCACCTACAGTTAAAAGATGAACACCCACACTGAACAAACTACAGCATTTTTTTTGTCACATGAGCTACCTGCTGGCTCAGAGAAAATGAACAGCTCAGTGCAGAGGCAGGGAAGCCCTGAAGCTGGCACAAGGGAACTCCCCAACAGGGAGAAGAGAAAGGCAGAACCGGAACAACCAACAAGTAAGCTTAGCCTGAGCTTTCACAGGTCACAACAAGTCACTGACTTCAAGAGAAAGCTTACGCACTGTGAAAACTACTGACCCAGCAGTTACAAACCAAGAGAAAACTGCATTTCAGGTAGTAGTACTGTGATCCATATCACACAAAAAAGACATTTTTCAGGTCTCAAAAATACACATTTCCCCCCACCCTTTCTCCCATGAACTAAAGCCTATGTTTTGAAAAAACAAGTACCAGAGAGGCAAATTACAGGAAATAGTAGTATCTGCATCTGTAAGTGTGTTGTTCTGATGGCTTTCTTACCTTTCCTCCTATTCGGACCTGTGCTTGAAGCTTGGCCAGTTTTTCTTGGTTCATACTGCTGTGTCTATAGAATAAGAAAGAGATACAAATACAAGTTAACTAGCAAAATATTAAGAAAAAGTTTTCCACCGTCCGTTTTAAAAGTACTCACAAAATTGCAGTGGACTTTTAAACTTATAAAAAATTCACCAAAACAGTGCATCAAACAAATGCACATAAATGAAAAGCTTTAAAGCCACACCACCTAAATAACACAAAGCAGTCCAGCAGCAACCTGTTTAGCTGAAGTGTTTGTACCGTGATATGGTAAATCAACAGGACATTTGATTTTGCATCAGTCTGAGATACTAATTGTCAAGTTCCAAGTATATCAGTTTACTACTGGAACCATTTGACTCAAAACAGACCCAAATCAGCACACACAACATGAGTGCTTCTAAGAAAACTTATCTTTGAGCCCAAGGAGAGACTCATCACTACACTACTTTGAATACTATTTCCAAGTAGTAAGTCTCTGATACTTTTAACAAATAAGCCAGTTCGAACTCTGTGAAGTTCATGTCTTAACAGATCGCCCGCATGAACCTCTGCCACCTGTTCATCCCATTCAATGGCCGGGAAGTTAGTCAAGTGGCTTCTCCAACGGGTCAGGTGGGATCTTTAAAGGCTGGAAAACCTAAAAATCCATATTGGATTAAAAAAAAAAAAAGCCTTACAGCACAAGAAAGGTATTTCGCTGCTCTGCCCTAAGAAGCCATCAGGGGCCCCCTGAATGAAGAGGGCATCCTCTCTCCATTTGCATTGTGCCGGGGAAGCGACGAGGAGAGGTAGACGGGGCTCCCACTGGCAAGTGGGGACCCAAGCGAGGCCCCAACACCGCCGGAGCACCCCACAGACAGGAACTCCGCCAGAGAGGCGGGCGAAGTAACTCCGGCCGGCAGAGAGAGTCGCTGGCCATTCTCAAACCATGAGGGGATAAAGGCCCCGTCCCTCGGGAGCCAGTGCACCC